TACATACGTATAGTTATAGTATAGAGAAGGTGCATGAGTGGTGACATGAGGGACATGAAAGTTGAAGCGCAGATGGCAAAGTTCTTTCATACTTGTTGGAGGACGTAATTATTTTTCGAAGTATTCACGAGCCAACATCATGGTCGTAGAACGAAGGTGCGTACAATGACGTATATGTTTAATACAAATTAACGAACTTTCCCCAAAACAAGTGTTTACGTACATGTAGGTATCCACCATAATCTTAATGTGAAAAGTTGTACCCATTTTATCGCAAATTTTTTGAGGTTGCATGTATGTTTTTGCCTTCTCTATACTACAACTATACGTACGTACATACCTATGTATATGTTTCAACGCAATACGTGCATTGGTACGTACATATAGATAATTGTATGATAAAGAAGTAGAATTTATTTCGTATTTAGCAAGTCAAATCTTTGTGGTAAGAGTGTAATACAATAAATCTGATTGAAAATAATATGAAATGGAATAGCATTGGGATTTGTCGACTTGTACAGGGAAATTTTGTCGTGCGGACGACAATTTTTATAGGTGCAGACGAAAATTTTTACCGTGCTGCACGGTAAAATTTAGTGGTGGCTCGGTAAATAGTCCGACGCGAAGTTTTGTCCCCCGATTACCGAACTGCACGGTAATTTTTGTCCGTACTGTCATTATAAAATTTCTGATTTTTTTCTCTCAGTGTGAAAAGAGTATACCTTCGTTATTTGGATGTGTTTCCAATAAATATTTTAATATTTAATCACTGAACCATTATAAACAATATATTATGACACAATACAATATAAACAATATGGAGGCTGGCCAGTACAAGACTGTGCGCTTTCATCGAATCTTCCGGTGAAAATCTACCCACAAAAATTGCAGTTCGTTTGACTGGGCCATTATTTTATGTATATGTTACATTTTAAAAAATCGATATTTAATATCTAACCTTATGAAAAAATTACCTAAAATAGCATTTATATGATTTTTAGGAATTTCCCAATTTTTGGGTACGAACGATTACTTTTAGATAAACCTATCAAATTTTCAAATAGACCTACAAATTGGTTTTTTAATAAATTTAGAAATAGGGGAAGAAGTGTGCGTAAAATCATGTATGTGAGTACATACACATGAGAAAAAAAATTTCTAGCTTTACTGCACACATTAGCGTTCCTCTTACTTCTCCGAACTTTGCCTCCAGTAACTATATGAAGAACGTCCTTAAGTCAAAAAATCACTTTAATCACGAATGGAAAAATTGTAAAGGAGTAAAATACAATAAAAATTAATTATTGTGGTAGTTGTATGAAATATAAGGTAATGTATACATAGTCTCCAGTATAAATGTATTACATTCTCCTTACCTTTACTCAATTTTCCACACTTAACATATTTTTAGTATTTTTAAGGTCTTAATTTTCTCAAAATTTTGTAAAAATGTCTGCAATATTATTTTCTGATTCGACCTTTACAATANATTACATAATATGAAAGCTGTTCTGCTAATGTATACTTATTTTGAAGTTTTCGAAACATGTACCTAAAAAACATATTTCATTAAATAAATTATCTATTCATTCAATGTATAATCAAACTGAATGAGTTAATACACGGTAAATAAAAATTTACATTAAAAATAAGCAACAAACTGTACGACAAAGTGAAGTAATCGAGTTACCCACATCGGGCACGTAAATACTGTACAGGCAAATAATATAACAATCACACAATTTAGCAATGACAATTCATTCAGCCATCCAACAGATACGATCGGACAAGCCATTTTCTTTAAACCAGTTGACACATTATCAATATCCAAAAATTTAAATAAAAAAACTTCATCGGGCCCAGATAAAATACCCAACATAATCCTTAAAAATTTAATAGTTAATTATATTATTAACTATACTATCTTATTCAACAATATAATTAATAACGCTTATTTTTCCAAAAACTGGAAAGTAGCAAACATTATTCCACTATTAAAAAAAAAACAAAGACCCGCATGATGCTGAAAGCTATCGTCCTATTTATTTGGTTCCCGGGATCAGTAAAGTTTTTGAGTCTGGCCTCAATAATCAATTGAATGACTTCTGTACACTAAACAACGTCATACCTAATGAACAATTTGGTTTTAGACACAAGCATTCAACTACCCACGCACTCAATAAGGTAATAAGTGATACGTGTCGACATGTTAACAAAATTGAACTGGTAGCGGCTTGCCTTATTGATCTAGAGGAAGCCTTCGATAGCGTTTCGATAAAAGGGCTCTTGTTTTAACTATCTCAAAAAAAGTTTCTTCCCCACATAATAAATGTATTATTTAATTCTTTTCTAGATAGAGAGCTATATGTTACTAATTTCAACAACAAAAAATGAGATAAACTTCAAATTTATGAAGATCTTCAACAAGGGACGGTGAACACCCCGATACTTTTCAGTTTATATAACAGTGGTTTAGCAAAATTATTCGATCTTGATCAAAATAAAAGCTCATATGCTTCTTTTTTCGCTGATGATCTAATTCGATATACAGCTGCAAAAACAGCGAATCTGGCTAAAACGAATCTCGAGGATCTCTCGAACAAAACAAACAATTATTATGATAAATGGTTCTTAAAAATAAATCCGGGAGACCATTCTAGTCCGTCCAGATTACAATAAATAGAGCAAAAATAAAAAAGCTAACTGGAAAGATTTTAAAATTCAATTGAAGGTAGAAGGGAATAGAAAAATTGAAATTCCGCACAAAAAATCGGTGAGATATTTAGGGTTCAATTAGACTATCTTCTTAGACTACATGAGCATCCACTATTACGACTTAAGAGAAATAAACAAGCCTTCCAAATCATCTACCATTAGTCAAGAAATCAGAGGAATACAAAACTACTTTCTAACATCAATACTGTACCGCCACTTAAATATAACAAAGCAATTCCTAAGCGAGATAAAAAAGACAAATCACGTGCGTATAAAAAATACTGGTGGTTATACAAATGATCAGTGAGGCAGAACCACAACTCTGTAAATATGTAAATATGTAAAAAAATAAAATAAAATAAAAAAAATTAATTACAAAGTACCCAAGTAGAGCACTATCTACTATTGTAAATTCTAGAATCAGTCACGTTATGACATGCAAAAATTTTGTGGAAACACTCAAACCGTCCTCATATTCAGTTAATCCACGCAAGCGAAATAGTAAAAATCATCACAAGAAAAGTAAGATCAATCTCTAGCGTTCTCTTTTTTTTCCTCTTTTTATTATTTAGTCTTAATCCTTGCAAGAAACGGACAGGAGTTTCTTTCTGTATCAAACAAACATTTTCTCCTAGCCAAATAATACATATTCAACGACTTGAATTATAATTGTGAGTTGCCAAATTAAAATGTAAATTATTTTTATAAACCATTGTTCCAGTAATACTTGTAGAGCTTTTTATGATAAGCCAATTAGTATGTTAACGTTAGTTCTTAAGCGAGTTTTGTTCGTATCATTCTAGCTTGTAAACACAACATGTATAATTCAAAGTTAATAAACGTTTTTAAAAAAAAAAAAAAAAATTATAGAGTGGATAAGCCTCGCCCAGTATGCCGAAGGTCCCGGGTTCGAATCTTTTTGGAAACTGTTTTTTTTTTTTTTTAGAATTGGTTAAAAGAAAAAAAAAGAAAATTTATACAATTCAAAATGTGTGGCGTGGTAATATCATGTGGTGTAGAGAAAACTGGAAAATCGTTGATTTACCCTCGCGCGTATAACACGCCTATAGAAGTATAACTTCAAAAATTAAGTCGTTGATCCCAGTATTTTCTTATTGCAAATGAATTTCGCATACTTTATTTACATAATTCCAGAATTTCAGAGGTTTTGATCTAGCCGATAAAAAAAGCCCAAGCCACCTTAATAGTCCGTCTATACCTACATTAACGGGAGGGAATAATTCATAATACTTTCAAAACATTAGACTACGACTAAATTATACACATAACATAAATATAACTTTACAATGTCTACCCTCGATTGCAAGTTGGAATTTGAACTTGGCCTACTTAAGTAAACAACGCTGTCATGTTAAAGCCTAAAGTTTTAGATTAGAAGGCTATTTGTCGTGTTAACTTACTACCAGGTCCACTCTGGCGGGTAAAATCGGAAGCATATCCAGCTGCCAGATCTTGATACAAATTCTGAATTGTCTGAAACAAAAATTATTTTCTCGCTGAAATAAATGGTAACAGCAAGCTTTATTTCTTTTTAAGGGGTTCCGAGTGAGTCGATTTCAAGCATAAAACAATGATTTTTTAGTTTACTACTGGCTTTGGATGTAGTACCACAATAAAAAATATAATTAGCATTTATTACGTTGTCTCGTTCAACATATTTAAGATTCCCTTTTCTTAAAAGTGTATTCAATCTGTGAACGATAATAATTAACTCATTTCATCTTCGTAGGACACGTTCAAAGTTTAAACTTAAATCTGGTAGCTATAATAATGCTTCCAATGTATATCACCAGGGCTGCACTAGTAACGGATTAACACAACGAATATTGTCCCTTTGTTACAAATTTCTGAAAGCTACTTGTTTGAAATCATCAAGTGAGGTGGGCACAACATATGTTTCACATAAATTTTATAAAAATTAACGATAAGTATTGCTTCAGACACCTTCATGGTATGAATTTTCAGTCAGCACCTTAACTCAAAATCGATTTCAAATAAAATTAAAAAAGATATCGCTTTATGGTAAAGTTTGACTAAAAATTACAACCGAGCAATCGATCGTACATAAACATACTGTCACGTACGATAACAATCCGTAAAATCTTTTTTTCCTTATAATGTACGGGCTTTTGCTTAATAAAAAGTATGGTTTTAAGCTTAAAAAACGCATTTCATTATGTAAAAAGCTGTGACTAATTTTGTACATCCATAATATTCATGCGCATATTTAATTTCCTGTTTCATGCCTATTCGCAAAATCACAGTTTCACCGATGATATGGGTACCAAACCAATTGGTGGGCGCGCCAGTAGAAACAAACGTCACGATAGAGTGCCGTACCGAAGCTTTTCCCCGGGCCATCAGCTACTGGATGTTCAACAACTCGATGGTCCTGTCTACTGAAAAGTACTTCTCGGAAATCGAGGAGAACTCCTACAGAATCCTCATGCGTTTGACAATAAGGAACCTGCAGCCTGGAGATTTCGGCAATTACCGGTGTATTAGCAAAAACTCGCTCGGTGAGACCGAAGGATCCATTAGGCTGTACGGTAAGGATATCATTCTTTCTACAACAGAATTTTTAATAAAATCTAGGTTACTTTTATTCCAAAAAACAGCATGGACAACAGCTCCGTATTTGCTCGTGAAACGCATTGCACTTTAATAAGCAACGCAATGACAGTTCAATTTTATCACTAATTAATATTGAAAAATCTAACTTACAAACTTAAATGAATTATTGAACGCATGCACAGCATCGCATCAGCATAGAACTTGTGTAACAAAAAATCATAATTTTCACGTCACTGTATCGAACAACACCCATAAAAGTACACGAGGCGTTTATTGTACATCGTAAAATTAAAATCAATAAATCAAAATAAAAGCCATGCCGCGCACAACAGAAGATTATCATCACCGCGGCTTCGGCAATTTCCCCCTCGATCATAAAAGATAAATCTCTCGACTAATTTGACAACGGGATTTATTTTGAAATTAGTTTTAGACCATAGAGCTTAATAAATCACTCTCGTAATGGCGAATGCATCGTACATACGAAGCTTTTGTCACGTGATAAAATGAAAAAAAAAAAAAAAAAAAAAAAAAAAAAAAAAAGTCAAATAGCCAATTAAAGCTGCCACTCTTCCGTCTGTTTCAGAATTTAAAAAACCCTCTTCACCACCCAAAGCCACGGAGATTAAGAGCAGTGCCAACAAAGAAGGTAAGTCTTTGCATCGTGTTACCTTTTGCTTCACTCTCCCAATGTAAAGCTCGACAAGCCCCTCCACCCGATCGCTTCTTCTCGCTGCAGAGAGTAAACAAATCAACAGAGCTCCTGCGTCAAATAGATTCGCATTCCACGCGAGTAGAACGTCTTCCTTGTTTCCAGTTTCATCACGCAATAACCATATGTATTATACACAAACGAGGTAGAAGATGAGAAAGTAGGGGGAGGCTGTAGGGTAAAAAGTCGGATTATTCGAGCAAGCGAAACGGTCCAATAGTAAAAATGTATTTATCTCGCGGGGCTTAGCGGAAAAATGTTCCTAGATCTCTCTCTCTCTCTCTCTCTCTCTCTCTCTCTCTCTCTCTTTCTATCTCCATCCCGACCGCAAACTCATTATCTTTCCTGTCAACGGATACGCGCGTGTATTTGTAGGTAGTATATCTCTGTATTCGAAGGGTACATTTTGCGTCGGGTGGCCTTTTTTGCTCTTCTTACGTTGCCCGTAACCAAAGTAATCCTTATATTATCCGAGAAAACCTACAAGAAAACTACATTATTGAGCGGGTGGGATTAGGAGAGGAAAATTGAGTAGCAGCTGCGAGATTGGGTCATATGCCAGTAGTTCTCCACCTTATGGTGGCATGGAAGAGTAAAATGTGACAAGTAGGATAGAGGCAAGGGTATTATTGTGTTTTTCTCAACACCCTAAATGGTTGCTTGAACTTTTTGATTTGATGATACCGTTAAGAGTGTTAAAGCATGTAAATAAACGAATTATCGATATCAATAATATCGATACTTGGACTTCCATAAGCCAAGAGACGAGGGGGCTTAAAATTTATTTGGTTTTATAGATATAAAGTCAAACTAACAATTATTGTATTTCAAAGGAATTTTTACAAAAACTTTGTCTTTGATGATCAAGAAAGTATCAATAAAGATTCCATTTATTTTAACAATCTTTATGGTTCTTAAGAAATTAAAAAAAACTAACAAACTTATTAATTTTTCGTGTTCGATTGTTTTTTCCGTCAGTAAAATTTTTTTTTTTTTTTTTGTTGTTGTAGTATAAAACGAGCTGTGTGTACACAAAAAAACTTTTGGGTAAATACACATTCTTGGCGCTATTTGTATCTCCAAACTTTTTTTTACATGCATTAGCAAATACGTATGCAGACATATGTAAATAAGGATTAGTTTTCGGTACAAATAGTCAAAATTTCTTGCGGTGCATGAGTAGAACTATAACTCCATTGGGGAAGTTTTCAATACCTGCCATAGTAAAAAGTCAAGCTTTAGAAATAGATTTCTCGAATATGATCATTCTGGAACTTTTAAGACTCTCTTAAAGCGTTAAAATACACAAAGTGTTTGTATGAAGTATACTCGTTTACTATATATAAAAACTTTGAATACATTTAAAGTTATGATAAGCGTGACAAATTATTTATGGGGTGTTGGATTTGGACATAAAAATATCAACTCTCCCACACATCATAAAATATATTTCACTTTAGTACACTATGCCAAGCGATTATGTTACTATTATTAAACGTCGATTCGCGAGTGCAAGACGAAAAACCTTTTTTTTTTTGCAATGAAAATACGAGTGTTTCCAAATGGAAGCTCTAACAGTTGAATCACGTAACCGAAGAGTGACCAATAATGCTTGAATTTTTTGAAACTCGCTTTTACGTTCAGAGCTCCAAATATTTCACGAGCTTTTAACATAAACCGCAGCGAGACTGAAAACCTTTAATTTTCAACAGCAGCTTTTAAAGCTTGGTGCTTACTAATTCATGATCAATAACCAATCACTCCGTTATTTCTTGCCAATCGTATCTCACTTGGTGCTCTCAACGAATTCTTCTTTTTTCATTGCGCACGCCATACCTATTTAATACAATAGTTCTTACGTATCGGCAAGGTAATAACGAATAGCTAGACAATTATCCAAGGCATGTTTGAAGCCAGATATCTAGCCGACCATTGATCAAACTCAGCTGTAAACACGCCAGGTGCAAAGAATAACGTGGATCAACGTGGCGCCTGTAGCCGATTTAGTTGCGACAGCAAAATTATTTAATAGCACGTATGTACTGTTTTATTTTGAAGTTTCGTAATCATTTAGAGCTAAGCCACGGAAATGTACGTTTGTTTCCATTAGGGTCGACCGTTGATAAATTATATCATCGAAGGGATCGGCGAGCCGTAAATACGTATCTAGGTCGTGGTTGTAGTTGATTTTCAATAACGGGATGAATTTGAAAAAAAAACGATTTGACTAGATCTCTCATGTATCTCATAACAATCGAGTCTAATATTAGACGCGGAGTAGACAGGGTTGAGATGATGGAGTATACTATCAATTATTTGGATTTCAAATTCAAATTCCCTTATTTTTTGCGATCACGCGCGCCTCTCCACCCTTTCGCGCTCGACGGAGCACGTTCACCGCCGTTCGTACCCTCGAGAAACGGGAAGAGCACGAGAAAAGCCAATCTCAATATGTTGCATTATTAAGGCCCTCACTTGCGGCAGGGGTGCTTTTTCCTGGTGCCCAACGATATACCGCGCGATAGACTTTGGCACCTACACTATCGGTCCGACGTTTTTTACTTCTTATCGCCTTAAAGCGGCGCCGTGTGGAACATGAAAAATAGCTTCGACAGTTCCTGCGAAGTGTTGCGAGGACCGAGGATGAGAAAGTAGAGGAAGCCTAACGGTGCGTTGAGGGTGAAAACGAGGTCGCTGATAAGAGGTCGATGGGAAAGGGATTTCTGGTGAGCTGTGCGTTCATGAGTTTGCGTAGTACATGGTACGAGGAGGTGGGGCTTATAGGCGACTGATTCTTAACGGTGGTCAATGACTTTTTTTTCATCATCGATACGTTCAAGTTACCCCAATCATTGTCTTCTTTCTCTTCTTGTTGATCATGCATAGGCGCATTGAATCATTTCTACCCAAGCATGTTCTTTGATCTACCCAAACATGTGGGTACGAACGCATGTCCCTAGGAACATATGAGTAAAAATTAGAATACACATTCCGTTTTATTGTACTTAAGCTCAGAAACTCAACGAGATTCTCACTACCTTCCAAATCTGAAACGAAAAACAGTAGTAGCGTTGCAACCTATTTTTCTCAACTAACTCCCATATGCATTGTTGCACGAATCGTCAAATTAGATGGTGACGGGGGCTCGTTCCGAAACATAAATGAACCTTCTAGCACTTGGAGTGAACGAAGAAGACGGTGAACCACTTTTGACACAAAGAAACTCCTGCTCCCAAGACAGTGCCTTTCTCGTGGCCCACAATAACCACCTTTTTCCACCCGTATCAGTAGGTAAATAGATTTCTGATGCTCAATATCCAAGAACAAAAGGCGTCGGATTCCCGAGGCTCCAATTTTTACGGCTACCTCTGTACCACATTAAGAGGATTTAGAGGACGACCCAATGAAGCGTGCATCTAAAATTCAATTACTGGCCCACACAATAGCTACGCTTGCACCAGCCTCGTATAAGTGAGACAAGTTGTATTGTAGGTGTTGTAGTTGGTGGAGGTACTGAGGGGAAAGATGGACTACATACACTGACTGAGAAGGTGTACGAAGAAAAAAGCGCGATAAAGAATGAAAGGCAGAGGATGATTGCACGTGGGAGATAAATGTACATAATAGAAGGTATGAAGTACACCTGCTTGTGCACAAGGACTTACACGTGCTCGAGCGATGCAGCGAGTTCCGGGGTAGGTACGCACAAGAGTGAATAGGAGTGAAAAGTGAAAAAAAGAGAAAGAAGCAAACGGAAGAAAAAGAAGAAAAAGAGAAAAAGGAATAAGGTTGAAGGGGAGAGGGTCAGGACAGTAGTTACGGAGAGATTGCATTGTACGGTTTGTACGTACAGTGGAGCTGTAGCAAAAGCAGCCGATCCTCTAACTCCTTCTCTCGGGCGCAGCGTGCGTGCACGCGCACGTGGGTGTGTACGTGTGCGGCTGTACACACACAGCGACCGTAGTGGTCCGAGCTTTTGCTGTAGAAGTCGTTGTTTCCTGTACTGCGGTGTATTTTCCTCATCTGGTTATATTGGCGCGCTAAACGCGCACCACCCGCCGGACCGAGCTGGCACAATCCTCCCCCTTCCACCTCGAATTCATTACCGGCTAACCAGTTCGTTTGGCCGTTCGCTTCCACGTTTGCTCGTGTTCGTTACAAGCACGCAGATTATCGCGCGTCCTGCTGCTGTTGCGTACATTTTGTTTCGTTCTTTTCTCCTTTTTTTACCTTTTTCCACTCTTTTTTTGCGCGAACCGAGGCAACACACACACACACACAGTTTGCAATTATCGGATTAATTTCAGCTGGGCGAAACATAGCGCGTTGGTAATTTTTCGCACGAGTCTCGCAACAGGGTAGGGGCTGCGGTGATTATACCAATGAGAGCTGGGGGGGGGGGATGAACTGAAATATTACTGCACTTGTGTTAGACTAATTTGTTACCCACTTGGAGTGATCAATTTGTTTGCGTTTGTTTGCCCTGTAATCGGTGTTTTGGGACGGATTTGCTAACCAATCGTCATTGGTACTTGGTTTTTATGTATCCAGGTACAATAAAGTGTAGTGTATTAGCGCTGCACTGAAATTTAAGTAGAAATATCCATGTATGGTCAGACGGCGGAAACCACTCACTTTTTACGATTGTGTACGATTGTATTGCGAGGCAAATCTTGGACATCAATTGCCACGCTCGGTTGCTGTACTGTTGCGTGGTTTCCTCTGCTCACGAGCAATCTTGGCCGTTGGAAGTTGTGCTCAGAGACACGCAGAGAACCGGAGAACAGAGCAACAGGAGCGAGCCCTTGATATCGGTACTAGACATCCATACCGTGGAGGCGAAGAGTCAGAGAGGGTGAGAGGGTAGGTTGATGGGGAGGGGAAGTAGCGGGGAGAGCATGCGAGATGAAATTAGTCCATCGAGGCTGGGCAGGGGA